TCTGAGACTGAATTATTAGCTTGTGATAAATCAATTTTAAAATGCTTGTTTTTGGTTTTTTTTTTTTTTTTAATCCAGAGGAAAAACAAAAAACTCTCATAATGTTTTTTAAAATAAGGCATTAAACACATCCTGTCTTTTAACATCTGTCTTAACCRTGGCAGTAAACCTTTTAAAATTAATTGTTACCTACTATTTAAGTACTATAAATTGAGAAAAAGAGAAGAAAGCAAAGAAGTTTGTAAGTTTTGAGAGGAACATATCTGGAAGTGGTGCAGTTTTATTCAAAYAATTATCAAAACCTAAGAAAGGTTAGATATTTATTTTGATGGGTGCTTCATAGATAATATCTAAAATTTTGCAGAAAGTAGAAATGATATATTAGAAGGGGTTAGTAGAACTTTCAAAGATTTCTCATCATCAGAAAATCAATATTCTTCAGGGACAGATATACTGTAAGTCTGACCCATTAACACTCACATCTAGAGTGTGTTTGCAAAAGAAATGTATTTCAACATACTTGCCYGTTATCTGAAGCTGTCACATGCAGATGAATAGCTCTGTTCATCAGGAGCTGGTATCGCTTTGGACACATGGCATTTCGTTATCTAACACATGGTATATCAAACACAGCTTACTGCTGAGTTCATACTCAAGCTTCCCTAATAGGATACAGAACTAAGTTTAAAAAAAAAAAAAAAAAGTGAAATGAACTTAGAAAACACATTTCTTTGTGAGGTTTTGGAAAAAGCTTGCCATGAGGAGAAGAGTGTTTAAAAAGCAAAATTTTGTTTGACATAAAACTTCCTTATTCAAATAAGATTCACTGCATGATGACCTTTAATAGATCCTTTAATAGATTCCACTTGTTTCTTTCTCTGTGTGTTCCTAAACCGCTTTGTTTTTAGCCATAAAACATTGTATTAAGTCACAAATAAGCATGTATGTTGAGTAACCTGACTACATTTGGTAATTTATATTTTATCTTACTAATATCTATCATAAAACATATAATTATCTTTCCTGTTTTGTTTGCATGAAATTTTGTTTAATACAGCAAATATTCAAAACCTAGTATTTCAGATGGAGAGGATTARGATGAAAAATAAAACAAAACTGAGAATTGGTTTCATGTTAAAAAAAAACCAAAAACACACATATTGTATGACAGATCTGAAAATGTAAGAGGTTAACCTTTGCACATAATTCCACACACACTCACATATACATTCCCACACAATCACAGACAAGCCATAAATAAAAATGTCTCAAATTACCGAGAAATAAAAGAGCCTTTCACGGATCACTTGATTGTCCCACACTGTGTTACATAGTTTGGAGTAATAGTTGTTTCACATCACAAAGCCATCAGGTGTTTCAAGACAAACGAAATATAAAAGCCATGTTTGGAGGAGGAGGAAGGTTGTCAAAGTCTGAATGTACCTATTGAATCTCAGTAATTGCCACTTAGTGTTTGATTTAATGAAAGCCACTGAATAAAGACAACTATTTCCTTTGTCATGGCTTGTGTTCCCATTTCCACATACCCTTCTCTGTCTTCCAAAGTCAAAGCCACAGTTCTCCATTTCCATCTAAACCCCACTTCCTTCCCTCCTGCATTCATCCTCATCTGCATGTCTTTCCCACACAGTAAATGGCTGGGTTAAAAATTAGTTTTCAATTATTTCCTCTGAAGCTAACGAGCTTGCTTTGACTCAGCTGTAGACACACTGAAAAGGTACAACCACAAACGCACTCAAATCTGCCTTCCTGCCTGTGTGTTCTAAAAGAAATATTTGGCCTTCACTATAGACGTTTTTGTCATCCAAGTTCCTTGCAGACAGACCATTTGGTTATCAGAGAATAAATTGTTTATAAATTCTATTATTTTTTTATCCCTCTGGGTAAAAGAAATTCTGATGAATCTCCCAAGTCAATCAAGGCATGGGAAGGTATTGTTTCTATCAGAATAAACTGTTCAAATTGCTTAAGTCCTGCTCTGATGGTGGCATTGGCTAAAAATCAAGATGATAAACATTGCAAGAAAACTATTCAGATGTTATTTTACTGTTAACTGCTACAAAGTCTGTCTTGGTTAAGGTTTATTTAGGGAGAGGGGGATTCTACTRTTTTTTCAAGGTATGGTTGTTTAGAATCTTTTCAACTCAGTTAATTTCTATCCTGATCACTATATTAAATTGAAATGGAAATATTCCTTAAAAAATAGATTTGGAAATTGGACATGAGACAGGTTTGCTGAAACATCATGAGAATGACGTTTCTGTTTCATAGCTACAACTCCTGTACTGTTGAAAATTCCTGATCTGAATTTAGGAAAATTAAATTAGAGTTTATTACAAGAAATCTTTGGGGTCTGTACCACAAAACTGAGGTACAAATGAGGACATATAATAGACACAAAATTTCAAATTATTTTATTCTTGTTGAGAAACAAAAGGAAAATAAGYAATGGGAAGAGGCAGAATGGGCAAGGCAGCAGAATTTAGCTAATGCTATAGTGTGTATGTATATATAATATAAAACTAGTATGTGTGTGTCTATATACATATAAAATTAGATATTTAGGATGATGTGGACATGGCAGTATTCTTACTCCACCAGTGCATTGCTAACTATGGGTATGACACTCAAAGTACTTAAATTCCAAYTATGTTTTCTCTGAGGTTCCAGAATGTGATTTAATCCTTTCCTTATAAACAAGTGATTAGGCTCCCCGTGATAGCTAAACCTTGTCTGTGAGGAGAAAACTTGAGTGGCATTGTAATTTCACTATAAAGGTCTTGTCTTGTCATGAGCAGAACAATTATTCTGAAAAAAAAAAAATATATTTCTCTTTACAAATTAAGAGTCCACAGGAGAGCGATTCAAGTCAATTTACACATGGAGAAAATTCTCTGGGCTCCTAAAAGAATAATTACATCTAAAAAGGCAGTAATGCTCCAAAGTCAGCGGGTATTTTGTGAGACAAAAACCCAACCCACCTCAAACCAGAACACCCAAAGAACTTATTGTGACTAAATAGAAATACTTCACAGCAAAAAAATTACRTCAGCTTTTGAATGTACATTTTTACTGTGCAGGTATAATAAAAATTATCCTTCTATCTTCATTTCTATTTCTCAAATTTAATTTTGAAAGAAAACCACAAATGTTTTGAGTGAAATTAGAATGGATTTTTATAATTGTTTCTGAGAGCCATTGAATCTTTTTAGTCTGCTKCTTCTTTTTCTGTCCAGCTTCCATTTGGTTGAAAACCAGTGTTTGGTCTAGCTTTGTCCTGCTATGTTTATTTAAAATTAGAAGATCTATAGGCCTAGAAGAAACTTGACAGAAGAGATAGGTATTTCTCTACTTATTTTAGCCACTKGGTTGCTTGAGAAGCCTCCATGTAGATATGCAGGTAGAGTGCTCTGGCTGTGCTGCTGAGCAAACACCATCTGTGTCAGGGAGTGTGCCAAAAGCATCCATGTAGAATGTGTCTGCTGGCAAGTGTATCCAGTACTGCACATCCTGGTAAACTACATCTGCTGCAAAGCTGCTTTCTTTTTTTACCTTTTTTTTTTTTTTTTTTTTTTTTTTTTTTTTTTTTTTTTTTTTTTTTTTTTTGTCCCCAGGCAAAAGGGGAAATATCCAAGAAAAATGAGATTGCTTGGTTGAAAAAATCATAGGTGTTCAAAAGCAGGAAATTCTAATTTCTCCTCCCAATTTTCTGGACATTTCAAAGCAAAAGTGTCTTACCAATATTCCAGGACATCCAGCAACAAGAATGTGGCATGTGCAATTCAGTAATTTACACCCACATTAAAAAAAAATAGCCATGAAACGCAGTTGGGGTCCCAATGTGCCTTTCAGACAAAAAAAACTCTTTACTCAAATGGCTCAATATTACTTACCAAAATGGCCTCAGTATTATTTTGAAGTTCATTTAGAACAGAATAAAACAGGAAGCAAATTTTGTGTTTCACAGCAGTACACAGTTTATACCAATACCCTCATTACCTGTGTGMAATTATGCTTTTATTCATAGTTATAGTTAAATAAATGCACTAAAACTCCTCATTTTGYTTTTCACAGCCATTCATCCTCATTGCTTCCTGTTTGTAATTAAACTGTAAGCCAGGGCAGGATCTTATTTTAACAGATTTGAAACAAATACTGTCAGAATATTTTGTCATGTTAGAATGCATTTGGGTAATGTCTTAGSAGGGTTGCATTAGAATGCAGGTAATACCTGTTTAGGAGAGTGGACATCCACATAAAAAGCAAAGGATGTGAAGTATGATGCAGTCATGGAACCAATGTGAAGACTCACATCTTCTGGGATAGCAAACCTGAATTATATGTGCATTTCAATGGTTTTATTCCCTCTTTTATTCCCYACCCCTCTTTTGTATGTGTGTGTGTGCATTGTACCTCTGACCTTCCAGGAAATTTATTTGTCTGTAAATTGAGCAGACAATTTAAAATTTTCATATGCTTTTACAAAACAAAACAACAACAACAAAAAAAAGGCTTGTATTCTTGCCAAAGTTTTTATTCTTGTTCCTTCTTTCTACTCCATAATCTAAAAATCTAAACCCTGCRAAATTTTAAATTGAAAGTCAGTGTTAGCAATTCGTGTGAAGAAAAGCAAACAGCTTCACAGATTTCTATTTTTAAAAGCAGGAAAATTCTTTAGTGGGTTGGTTTTTTTTTTGGGGGGGGGGTTAGTTAGTTCCCTTTTATTTTGTTTAATTATTTTTATCTTAAAAGAGGTAATTAAGCAACACATGGTGTCTATGTGCCTACGTGCTATGACAACCTAATTGAGTGGTTGGGAAGCTAATGAGGGCAGGGTGGGAGGGAAATCCAGGTGAGCAATTCAGAACAGCTCATTTCACTGGTGGGCTKCTAGAAACCAAAGCAAATACACATGGGGGCAGGGGAAAGTAGGAGGTGTATAAGGAAAGCTTTAAAAATTTAGAAGAGAATAGCAGGAGATGAGTACTTGGTTTAACAAAGATTGTAGATTTAGCATTGAGCTTTTTAAATGTTAATGTTCATTAGCATCTGAAAGGGACTACCAGAAGAAGAGAGTAGAATAGATCAAGATTCTTATTTAGGTAGGTGGAACAGGGGAATACCCTTTTTTTTTTTTTTTATCTATATGTGAAATCTAAATTTCCTAGGGTAGGCAGGTAAGAAAAGTTCTTACAGATTGAGCACAATCCTTGATTTGAAGAGCACAGCTGCAATCACTGAAAGATTCTGTAAGCATCTCTCTTTTTTCCTCCCCGTAAGACATATTGGAATTTTGGAGGGTAAAACAGAAATTTTATTAAATTCATTAAAGCAGAGGGATTAGAACAGCATGTGTGTGTTTCAAGCATAAAGCATTTCAGAAGGGTGTTTTTTTTTTTGTTTTTTTTTTTTCTTCTACACCCTAGCCTAGCATTATTAGCTTCACAAATACTTTGTGAAAAATGCCATCCAAACCTATCTTTGGTTTGGATATGAATTCCTTCACTTTTAAAACAGTATGCTGACAAATTTTACAGTGCCCCGTAACATTGCAATGTCTATTTCTTTAGCAGTGATATGGAGGGAAGATTGTATGAGCCTGTTATAAACCAAATTGTTCAAAGGTTTAATAAGTTTTCTATGATGCTCAACACTGTGCAACAGGTGAAAGATATTTGCTCACAAAAACTTAATGCTAAAAAGAGAATGAGGATAAAAGCAAAAACAAGGAAGTTATTTCTGGATTTTGCATTTCCTTATATATCTTAAACCGCCTTTTCCTTATGATAGGAAGTGTCATAAAAGTTAAGAAAGTTGTTTCATTTGGCCTACTTATTAATTTATATTTTAGTTCTGAAAATTTCCTTACAATTTACCATTCTCAAAAGTAGAATTCTCCGCTATAATTAGAAAAAAATATACATATATACAAAATTATATATATATATATAATTTATATATGTGTGTTCAGTTCTACAAAGACTCTTGCCATTCATCTCTCATCTCTGCCGTGGAATTTGGATTAAATTCAAAAGAATGAACAAGACAAAACAAAACACTAGTAAAATGAATTGTTGCTTCACACAGAAAGTGCAACTGGAGGCAACACTTTAACTTTACTGTATTAAAGAAATCCTAAAGAAAGAAGAATGTTATTGGACTTTGAATATAGTAAATTCATCTAAAAATGTTTTTAATTATAGGGTCTGCTAGCACACAAGAAGTAGCTATAACTAATGCTTTGCATGTATTTAGATGAATCTCTTTTTTAATAATCACTTCTGCTGCTTTGCCATTAACTATAGACATTTCAGAACTTGTTACATTATATTAATATTCATTATTAAGAGTACTTTTTCTTAAAGCAAAGCGAAAACAAATTTAGCTGTAAACTGCAGGTGATTACCCTTTTGGAAAGCAAAAATAAAATGCAACTCTGTTCTGTGGCTTTGCCAGGTATAAATATTTGTCTGCAGGCGTTCTGGGACCAAAGTCTCAATGCAAAATACAGCACTGATGCCTAAGCAGGAGGGGAAAAGGCATTTTCTGTGACAGTGCAGTTGTCTGCAGCCGGAAGGATTCTCTTAAAATACAATTGAGAAGAGATGTATAATCCAGCTTCTTCTCCTTTAATATCTACATTCAGCTGGGCATTTTTTTTAAGCAAATAATATTAAACATAGAAACAAAATGAAACCTCTTGGGCCTGAGCATCCAAAACCATAAAAGACAACCTGCACTGCTCTGTGCCTGCAGAGCAGCAACTGGAACCGAAGAGATTTTTATGCTAAAGGGTTTTATTGGAATGAACACACAAGCGTTTCTGCTCTGGGCATCCAGAATTGAAAGCCAACACAGATTAATAAATTTTCCATCTTGGAAGTGTTTTCTCTAAATAGAACAATTTTTCCTTCTGCTTTCAACTACCTATTTTATCTCACTATTGGAAGAATATCTGCCACATTCAGGACCAGGTTATACAGTTTATTTTAAATTATTCTACTTTCATTGGGGAGGATATCATAATTCCTTTTCCTACTGACAACTTTTTTTATATTTCCAGGGAAACTGTTTGGCGTGCCTGAAGCACAGCTGATAATAATGGATGTTYCAGCAGTCTACCCCTTACCTGCTGCTGTTCAGTTGTCTTCCTGAGCCAAAGACCTAACAAAAGCTGCAGTCCGAGCCCTGACAGTGTCATTAGTCCAGGTAMAAAATTGTTTCCATCTATTTCATGCCCTTTGAGATGAAATTCCTTCTACACACCAGGCACCTAAGTAATAATGATACCGACCTCTTAAAAAAATCCATCTCTCTGTGGATTTCAAGTTGCTTTATATAACATCGTTTCATTTAACCCAGGAAAGCTGAGGCAGTCTCAAATTCCATGGCTTCTACCTCTATGTGTTATCACTCATGGGAAAGATGACCAAACTTGGGAAAATTGTGTTACTGGCTTCCTAGTGCTGTTTTGTTTTCAGGAATAGCCTTCGAACACAGAAACCTGTTTGTCCTTCCCTTACGCAAAACAAAGGCCAGGAGAATCAGGCAATGCTAACTTTAATGTGGTCTTTGAATACGTTTTCATTTTCTGACAAATCAAAATGTGGTATTCTGGCTCACACCAGTAGCCATTTCACTCCACTGCTTTTCCCCAGGTTTGGCATCTATTCTTTGACTCTCAGGTGCACAAATAATCATRGAATGGCGTGGGTTGGAAGGCTTCAGCATCATACACTATAAAATGATTKCATAAAACTTGGTGAGGCTGTAATTGTTCAGTACAAGAATAAGATTTCCCATCACAGCTCTTTTTCCTTAGCACTTTTCCAGTCTAAATTACCTGCAGTAGTAAAAAACATAAATTCTGTGAAGACCAGGTCTTGAATACAGTTCTAAAGTACAGAGTGCCTGTAATAGACAGCTTGGTAATTTTCTCTGTACATGACACAGAAAACGGTGAGAGTAAACATCTATGAAAACTCCTTACACAACCTAAACACAATTTATTCCCAGTTAAAATAATAAAGCCAGCCACACAGAATTTTGTTTGTATATATGTCTTATATATGTCTTTTAATTCTCTGTTCAACATTTCAAATTGCATAACCTTTTTTCATTTTTTTTTTAATGTTAAAACTAATTTTGAAAATCTTGGAGTCTCAGTTTCACYGGGCAGTATTTAAAAAAAATCATTTTTCTGACTAATATCTGTATCTTGAATATTTCTATCCCCGTGTCTCTTATGACATCTCTGTGTGTTTCCTTGTGAATTGTGTAATCTGCTTAGCCTAGGGACCTGGTCAAGKAGTGAAATGGAGATTTGTCCTTTAGCTGACTGCATGAATGCTTTTATGTTTGTACTGTTATGCAATTTGCAGTTGTCTGTCATCAGTAAATTTTTCTATTATATAAACAAATTATAGGAAAGACATTGTGCTCTAACAAGAACTTTCTAATATGAATTTGAGATCACTGCACTCATAAGAGGCAAAACCTTGGGAGAATTATACAGGCTCTCCCAGTAGGGCATTAACACAGTTATAATACAATCCCACACTACAAGCAATCTAAATGTTCCATGTATGTTGCTGGAAAGAAAAGTGAACTATTTTATAAATGTGTTTTAAAGAAGTTTAAATAAAAAAAAATTATGGAAACCAAGACCTTATCCCCCACCTGCGAAACCAGGTGCTTTATTTATTGCAAGAAACTGAAAGAGGTATATATTATACTAATAACACCTTAAAATGTCTAAAGTGTCTTTAAAAGATCTTTCTGTGTATTTGGAGCCCAAACTTGTGAAATAGCAGAATTTTATGCAGGGACAATGTTCCATCAGGAAAAAGTATTACAACTTTTCACAGAATAAAGAAATTGTTCTCAAGCCTAATGATTTATAACAGGCTGAGCAATAAACCTAGAAGTGATTCAGGATTGTGCTGATTTTTCTGTCCTTTTAGAGACATGTTAGCATGCCACACTTTTTGAATAAAATGGGAATCCTTTCTGAAGCAGAAGTAGTGAGTAATGTGTACTAATGGKGATGAAGTTTTTGTGAGTTTATACAGGTGAAAATTTAGCATAGATGTATTTTAGCATAGATAAACTGCCCATTTTTTGCTGCAAACTTCTATTAATTTCCTGGGATCTTTGTACCCACATAAGCTTCTACCATGTCTTTCTGATACATACCGTTATCCTGACTTTTTGTTCGTTAATTTTGATTTTGATTTTTTTTTTATTTTTGTCAATAATGATATAATTCTTAATGTAGATCATAATTTTTATTCATGCAATCCATCTCTGTGATAATTATATTGCTACCTAAAATAAAAATTAATAAAAAATGAAAAAACAAACAAAACAAAACATGAAAAACTAAACCAAAAAAAACAAAACAAAACAAAAAAACAACCCAGAAGAAAAAGAAAACCACCACCAAAATTGCAACAATGTTAAAATAGTAAATAAAAAAATAAAAAGCGGGTCTTTAATGGAAGCTTCCAGGTGTGTCCATAACCATGGGGATGGACACACCCAGCATTGGATTTCTACAATTTTTATGTTTAAAAAATTTATATATCTAAAAAAATATTGCTCACATAGAAGAGCAGTTGATCCGGTAATTYCTCCCTGCATTCTACCCCAGTGGAGCCCCTCTCCTGATTTTTTAACSCYAMGTTTTATTACATTTACAATATATGGTGCAAAACRAAGTGTCCTTGCCAGACTAAAAGCAGAGTAAATGGAATTCAAGAAGGCAGCATAATATGTAGGAAAGAGCAATTACTATGCTAGAGTGACAAAGTGTCAGAAACTATACAACTATCTGTGAATATCTATAAAGATAAAGATATATAAAAAAGCAAAAATCTTTAGGCAACAATGTCACTGAATTTATCTTCAAGATTTTCACTGAGCATGTCTTTGCAAGGAAGGGAGATTAGCCTGCTCCTCATCCTTTCCTTGTGTTTTAAATTATGATATGAACTGGCTTTGGGTAGTGTGTTTGYTGGCACATGCAAGTGAAGAATGAAGCTACATTGTGTCAATAATAAATATTTGACAATTTTGTAAGACAATTGTATTTCATAATAGGTCCTGTAATTTTACTGTAGAAAAAGCAAGAAGACAGCATAGTTGACTGACTTATTCCCTTGAAACAATCACTTTATTATGTCTTGGGCTTGCAGCTACACATTAGGATAGAAACAGCATTTATGTGGTACATATCTACATTTATTTATAGGAAGATGATTCTTTTACTTTAGTGATTCTGGTTTTGTTTTCCGRAGACTTCTTCAATTCTTTTTTTCTTTTGCATGACATGGTGATTCAGAAAACAGAGTTGTAAGGTAGAAGAATTTTATTATTTCACTATACTTTTAGGCCTCAGCTTCTCTTTTATCAGGATGAAGCCTGGAACAGACTTTTGTTTTCTTTATATTAATGGTCAAACTTGACACCTTCKCAGTGTGATCAAAACAGACAGAAAAGTGTTGGACTTACACACAAGTGCTCACCAGCACCTTGCAGAAGTGTCCAGAATACACACTAAAAGGTTTGGAGCATCACAAKGAATCTGCCATTCAGGCAAAGTTGAATAAAGATGCTTTTATCTCTCTGTGTCCCTAAAATCATTGTGGAAGTGTATATGCAAGCACAGGGAGCATACATACCTACCTTACTGACATTTCTGATAATGAGAGAATCTGTCAAGATTTTTGCACTGAGGATCCTCTGCACCACACTATCAAAAGATGGGCAAACATYGAAAAAATATTTTCAGACTACTATGTACAGCCAAAGTTCTACAGAGATCTCAAGAGGTCTTCAGTGTTGACAGGAGRAATTCCTCTGGTAAGGCCATATGTGATTACATAAGGATTTTTATTCCATTAATCAAAACTTGCATTTATTCAGCTGCATAAATAATACACTCTGAATTTAATTTATCACATAAGCTGAATTGACATACAAGTGGGTTTTCTTTCTTTTCTTCACCATTACCAACTCCATTGCCTACTTTCCTGGAAAGTTTTTTCAGGAAACAGAGAGAAGTTAGTCTAACCAGCAAATCCAGAATCAAGCAAGGCCAGCATTTATCACAGCATGAGTGGTGACAATGATGCTAGCAAACTTGAACTCCCAGATCATTATCTCCTTATTTAATCTCCTCTTGGGGTGGTGACTGCTATTAATTAGTGAGAATAACACCAGGGCCCATTTTCTTGATCAGAAACCACTGTGCAATCCAATAAAGAGACTGGAAATAGCTGTTGTTTTTTTGGCTGGCCCCTAAGTAGAACAGTGGAATAGTATCAAAAACTTCATTGCAGTTCACATGCAGTTTCACAAATCATGAAAGTATCTGCATTACTGCACAATTTAGGTTTTTTTTCTTAACAGAACCTGGTCATCATCARCAAACAGGTGCAAAATGCCACTGATTGTAGGGAACAGACCCTTTCTGAATGTTATGACCTTCTGTATCTGCAGCTTGTTGAAACTCTTCTCACCTCTTTTACCCACTATTTATAATTCTTGATYTAAAGTTTTGTTCATTACTTATTTTTCTGAAGATAAGCAGCTTTTATACAAGTGTTTATAATGCATGCATAAAAGCTAATAGTGATTTGATAGACACACCTTTTTATCAAATTAATTTTGATGATGGCATTTGACAAGGGTAAAACCTCCTGTGAATCACTATGTAAACACCTATGGGCCTTTTCTACTCCTGCTAGCAATTTTTGATTTGATTTGCTAATCCATGCRCAGTGAACTGAATACCCAAATTCTGATCCCCCAGCTTTCCTACTCATTAGCTGTATTATCTGTCCTGTGGTTTAATAGGAAAATACAKTGGAAACCCTCTTGAATGTGTCTGATAACTACAGTGTATGTGACTAATATCAAAACTCCCTTTACTCCGTTCCTCTCCAGATACATATATATGTATATATTTTGGGGGGGGAAGTGTTTTGATTGCTTTTTCTTATATTTCTTTTCTTTTAAGAGAAAGTCATTTGAGAACATGAAATGAATTAAAATAAAATACAATAAACTTAAGTGGTTTACTACTTATGTATCTTACCTGTAGCTTCATTGGCTTGTGTGAGGCTGTGGCTCTTGTTCACACCAGCTCCAGCAGTATCACAATGAAATACACAGTCCAGTCTAAAACTTTCACTTGTGTGTGTATTTCTTGGCTTATYGGTGATGAATATGTGGGATATGCTTGGAACCATTTATTTAAGATTTCTTCATTCTCCATAAAGGCCATTTCATTTTCTCCATCAAAGATTGCCTCCAGAAACAGATGAAATTGCCTCCAGGAGTGGTTTGCTGTGAGCCTGGAGGTTAATTATGGAGCAGGAAAAAATACCTGCCATGTGCTTAATTGTTAAATAAATATATTAAACATTTGTTGATACATACAATACCTTGACTGTAGAGACTGTGGCAAATAAATGATGCAAGTGACAAAGGCACAAAAACATCTGTGAAGAATGTGGCCAAAAGGTAGATTGGGTGTCCTCCAGGTGCCTTCCTTTACAGTAATGCAAATTCTGTCCTTGCCTTGCAGGTATAAAGGCTCCCAGGCAGCATGATCAATGTGGGATGTCTGTAACTGAGAATAAATACAATGCAGTATTTATACAATGCACAAAATACAACTCAGAAAACCTGGRCTTCCTGGGGAGCTTGAAAACTGAGTGTGGGAACATCAGAGAGGGACAAGACAAGGAGCTGGGGCAATCGTATTAAAAAGCAGGATTTGTTTCTAKGCATATTCTTATATCTTCATTTCAAGAGATGTGTGAAACAGAAGGACAGAAACCACACACAGYGTTATTCCCTTCCAACCACCAACAAAGCACCCATTATTTACCAAAGAGGTACTGGGTAGGTGTGAGACTGGATTTTAGCTTGGCATTAGAATTTGAGCTCAGGTTGAGGAGACAAAATGAATCCAAGAACTTTGAGTCCACCACTGATTTTTTTTTTCCTTTTCTTTCTTATTTTAAAATAAAATCCTTAACCACCAAAATKAAAACTACTTCTACACTTGATTTAATATATTCTTTTCTCTCTCACTCTCCATCCAGGAAGGAGGAGGAGCAGAAAGACACGGCACGCACGTATGGAGGATGGAAGCAATTATAATGCATGAAGTAGGAGGGAGAAAATTATGGGGAAATTATCTTTAGCTGCTCACTGATAACTACCTTCATAGATTATAAAAGAATCACTGAAAATATATATGTAAATTACCTGAATTTTCTATTGGTGTTTTCCTCTGCTCTCTAGATTGTGAACCTTAGTAATATTTTGTAAATTAGGAAAAATGTTAAAAATAAATCCAATATATTTTRTTTTTAATTATTTCTCTTACTGGCCAGATGCATAAATAGTTAATTTGTATGTGGGTTCCATTTTTTTTAAAAAATGAACACGTGATGGTGAATTCCTTAATGTACTCCTGAAAGCAAATCATTTTGGTAACACCACAATTTGGAGTGATGAATGTAAATCTAAAAACTTGCATCTGGATGTTAMCCTTTATCCCCTTCTCCCACCCCTTACTTCTGAGAGACCATTCATTCTATTAAACTGTTTCATAGTGAAAGATAATTCAGCCAGTCATGTCCTTACTGGCTATGGCTTGGAAATTGTRTCATTTCACAATGTTTTGTATACATGCAGAGTAATTTTCTATTCTATGTCTAGGTATCATAGTTTAGATAAGCGATTTGTTTAATGTACTGTTCGAGACAAATGTGGACAACACAGAATTTTTTTTCTTTTTCTGTATTTACTTTATTTTTTCATACCGATATTATTTCATCTATTTCACAGGAGGATTAACAGCTATGGAAAATCAGTTGGTGTACCTGGAAGAAATGAAAGAGAAGGATGAAAGATCAGATTTTCTATCATAATCTGAGTTTCAGAAATGATGACCAGTTCAAAGCTTTTGAACTCAGATCCAGTTATGCTGATATAAATCAGAAGCAAGCTATTCTAAAACAACAGTAATTGCTTAAGAAGAAAGTCCATGAATTCTGAGGCTTTGTGCTCTCTTGATTTTTCATCAAACTTTTTAAGAAGTTAAAATTTTGACTCTTTATTCTACCCATTTCTTTTGGTTGATTAGTTGSTTTGTTGGTGTTTTTTAGCTCTATATTCTGACTTCATTCCATGCATGCAACTGCTCTGTTATTGTGGGCAAAGATTTTCTTTACGTTTGGTCAGACCGAGATTCCTGACTGGCAGCTGCATAAGTTACTGATGACAGAACATTTCTTCTATTTTGTCTTGTTCTTACTTGTTATGCTCTAATTCCTGCTAAACACCACCCTAATACACACCAATTCCCCACTGGCAAGAAAAGTGACATCAGAGTCAATCTTCTGTCAGAAGGGCATCGTTGGTAAATTGTTTCTGCTTTAGACTGGCTGGGCATCTCCATTCCTTGGGACAGGAGTTTCCTGTTCAGCATCCATTCCCAGAGCCAGGAGATGGGGTGGGCTCTGGTCTGGTGCATGGAGGTGCAGGCGTTTCAMGTTGTTTCCTGTTCTCTCTCTGCTCCTGTATTTCTCCCCTGAGCAGCAGCTATCTCCAGAGCTCACASACTTCTTGGAGAAAAGTATTGCATTCACTACACAGCTTTTCMTTTTCCCAGTAGTCTCTATTCATTTCCATAGAATTTCAACAGCCCCCGTGATCCCCATAACAAACTGGAAGAAAGCAGGCTCTGATCAGATGATGCTGTGTAAAAACAAAGATTGTATTTTCTTCTCTTTCCTTCTGAACTTGTTTTGGGCAGCCTGCAGCAGTGGACATGTTTGGACTCTCTGGAACTATTATTCTTCTACAACAAGCCATCTTGAAATGTATTTTGAGATCATAATTCATGTCTCAATGAACTTYATGTGTTTTTCTGAAAGTATTCTTAGTTAGGATGTAAATATCAAAACTTGGATGAAATAATAAACACTAGTATGGTTTCCTCTGATTCTATTTCTTCATTATATTGAAGTTTTCTGGGACCAATAAGAGGTCTCTGTTTGCTTTAAAGTTTCTCTCCAGTATATCCTGATTCCTTTCCTATATCACAAAATTTTACAGCTCAGATGCATTGTGTTTGGTTCTTGCCCTTTTAGAAATAAATGAAAAACCTTACTAGATAATTTAATGTTTAGTTATCACCCCAGAGAGTCAGATTTTATCAATAGTTTGTTTTGGACGATAGCCATCTACCAATTCAGGAATTTTTATTTAGCAAAAGTGAATCTAAATTACCATAGTGTTACACATAAGAATTTCTCYAGACATTTACTTGAGGTTTTATCTCGACAGGGAGGCAAGTCTGTCAATTACATCTCATCCACAAAAATTCCATGAGGCAGGAATAAGTATTTCCATGGATTTTTCAATACTAAACATAGTGAATAACCTGTAATAGAGTCACTGCTGGCAAATGTTTGGGTTAATAAATAATCAAAGATGGGTCCCATCCCTTTTTAAAGGCAAGCTTCAGAAGGATCATCTTGCATTTGTGTCTTCATCTGATTTTTAACGCTGTAGGTAATCTTCACTGAGAGGAAGAAAAGTGAAGGTGATCTAAAAGCTGTATTAGACTAATTAACAGGAAACTTAGCAGCAGCAAGCAACAAAATACAGTGAACATCCAAATCAAATTTTCCACCTGTGTAATCAGTGTTGTGTTCCTATGAACTGAAGTTCTGCCAGAATTCAAGAAAAAGGATGTTATATGGTGTAGAGACAGATCTTTTATCCAAGACAAATCAAAGAGCTTTTTGTAGAGAGTTTGTGTGATAGAACTGAACTGTCCRTGTGTTGTGTAACAATGTGCTGCTGCCCTCCATAACTAAATGGCTGTATGGAAAAAAACTACATGACATATGTGCATCTAGTAATGATTGCAAAGGCTTTAGAAAGGGACAGCAGGAGTGGGATATCAGAAACTTCCACATGACAGAAGAAAAGCTTCGTAGTCTGAGGACRACATGAATAAAACAATGGAACAGAGCTGGCATGCATTTTTCCAGCACCTAACAGGGAAAAGTTCCATACAAGCATATAGGTTAAAGACATGACCTGCTCAAGTCACCCAAAAGCCTAAGCATCTTTAAGAATTACCACATCATGCCATGATTTTCATCCAGACAAGGGTTGAAAAGATYCTAAAAAAGTAACCAGATGAAATTTGCAGTACTGGGACATGAATGAATTAAATGCTATAAAACTGTACTTGGTGAAATATCAGGAGAAAAACTGAAAGCTTGGAAAGCACACTCCAATTAACATCTAGACATGAGAAATATTCTAATATTATTTCCTCTATCAAACAATGAATGCAACAGAAATACTTTCAAAATTGCAGATGAATAAAAGGTTTCCCTGATCAGTCTGCCACACCTTGATCATGGAGCTGTCAACATACCTTGGAGAAAAAACGGCCTTTTTATACTAACTGCAGATCACCTGCATTATTTGTGTTTGAAAAGCAAGTGAAAAATCTTGGAATAAACAGAGTTTAAGGCTGTGAACTGCTGGTGTCTCTTACTGTTTTCCTGAAAAAACTGCTTATAAGTAGTTGAGTCTGAGCATCCTTTCCTTCTCTTTTCAGTATATGGAATACTGCATTCCTTTTCCTATTGGAGAATATTGATGAATATTTTCCCATTTTGCCCCATAAGTTTTGAGACATGTGAAGTAAAACTAATCTCACTCTGTGTTGGAATGAAGAGYGCACTGCAACCTGTAACAGAAACAAGGAAGTAATGCTTCAGCGCTTCCTTGAAAGTCTTGAGAAAAAGAAAATTGCAAAGTAATCCAAAAGAGAGCTTTTCTAGCAAAATGTCCAGCAATATGCTTAAGAAAAGGGAAAAAAATGAAACTTTGTTGGTAGGTTGGCATACTTCTGTTGTGTTGTCTGCACTTTTGTATCCCTTTTTGGGTATACAAAATAGATTTATTTTTTTCTATAAATAGCATATGTTGTGTCTATTTTACCAGCACTTGGCCATTTTGTATGGCCAAGAAGAACTTAGCTCCACAGTTCTGTTTTCTGGCAACTGTAAGCAAACTGTAGTAGACCACAGATAGTTAAATTCTGGGACAAGCAATAAACAGATTTCACTGGAGTCATTCAGTTCATGGGATGGTGGGGTTCCTTCCTGCATTCCTTTCTGTGTAGCAAATAGTGTCCTGATTTATGTTTGTAGATAGGCAAGGAATRTGTACATTACTCATTCCTGATTTAAAAGGTGGTTTATAAATGGCCAAGATATAAGGAACTTTGTCTTTCCTGTGGAAGGAGTCATCTCACACATAACTTAACCTGCTTAATAAGTTCAACTCTGTGCTATCTCTAGATATCTCCCYGTCTGACTGCAGTACATACCTGTTCATTATGTAATCCACAAATATAAAATATTACATATTTGAGAGGATTTGGGTACAAAACATATTTCCAGGATTTATTTCTGGTGGTTTGAATATCCACAGACACTTTTTCAATACTTACCAGCTTCTGGAGAACAAGATCTTTCCTCCTAATTCTCACAGAATCACAGAATCAATAAGGTTGGAAAAGACCTCTGAGAACATCAGGTCTAGCCTGTGATCAAACACCACCTTGACAACCAGACTATGGCACTGAATGCCACATCCTGTCTTTCCTTAAACACCTTTAGGGACTGRGACTCCACACCTCCCTGGGCAGCCCATTCTAAAGCCCAATTGTGCTTCTGTGAAGAAAKTCCTCATATTATCCATCCTAAACCTCCCCYGGTGCAGCTTGAGGCTAYGTCTTCTTGTCTAGTTGCCTGGGAGAAGAGACAAACCTCCATGTGGSTACAACCTCCTTTCAGGTATTTGTAGAGAGCAATAAGGTTTCCTCCTTTTTTCCCCAGCTACTCATCAGACTGTGCTCCAGACCCTTCCCCAGATTCCCTGTTCTTCTCTGGACATATTCCAGCACCTCAATCTCCTTCCTGAATTCAGGGGCCTAAAATTGGACACAGTACTTGAGGTGCTCCTTAGTGAAAAGCAAACAAAGCAAGCAACATCCCCCAAAAAATAACAACTCCCAATTTCCATTTGCAATCTTAATTTTACAGATTTTCTGGAACACCTCCAGCTACTGAAGTAGACACTAAAGTCACCAATGATGTCCTGGCCTAGGATCATCAGGTTAGTTCCCAGTAGTCATGAT